GTACTGAAATGCTGTCCCTGTCCCTGGTACTGAATGCTGTCCTTGTCCCTGGTACTGAATGCTGTCCCTATCCCTGGTACGTGAAATGCTATCCTTGTCCCTGGTACTGAATGCTACCCTCGTCCTGGTACTGAAATGCTATCACTGTCCCTGGTACTAAAATGCTATCCCTGTCCCTGGTACTGAAATGCTGTCCCTGTCCCTCGTACTGAAATGATATCCCTGTCCCCAGTACTGAAATGCTATCGCTGCCCCTGGTACTGAAATGCTATCCCTGTCCCAGGTACTGAAATGCTGTCCCTGTCCCTGGTACTGAAATGCTGTCCCTATCCCTGGTACTGAAATTCTACTCCCTATCCTGGTACTGAATTCTACCCCTGTCCCCGGTACTGAAATGCTATCCCTGTCCCTGGTACTGAAATGCTGTCCCTGTCCCAGGTACTGAAATGCTGTCACTGTACCAGGTACTGAAATGCTATCCCTAGTCCCTGGTAACTGAAATTCTACCCCTGTCCCCAGTACTGAAATGCTATCCCTGTCCCAGGTACTGAAATACTGTCCCTGTCCCTGGTACTGAAATGTTATCCCTGTCCCTGGTACTAAAATGCTATCCCTGTCCCCTAGTACTGAAATGCTATCCCTGTCCCTGGTACTAAAATGCTATCCCTGTCCCCAGTACTGAAATGCTATCCCTGTCCCAGGTACTGAAATGCTGTCCCTGTCCCTGGTACTGAAATGCTGTCCCTGTCCCTGGTACTGAAATGCTGTCCCTGTCCCTGGTACTGAAATGCTGTCCCTATCCCTGGTACTGAAATGCTATCCCTATCCCTGGTACTGAAATGCTACCCCTGTCCCTAGTACTGAAATGTTATCCCTGTCCCTGGTACTGAAATGCTATCCCTGTCCCTGGTACTGAAATGCTGTCCCTGTCCCAGGTACTGAAATGCTGTCACTGTACCAGGTACTGAAATGCTGTCCCTGGTACTGAAATGCTGTCCCCAGTACTGAAATGCTGTCCCTGCTAGTGAAATGCTGTCCCTGGTACTGAAACGCTGTCCCTGGTACTGAAACGCTATCCCTGGTACTGAAATGCTATCTCAGGTACTGAAACGCTATCCCTTGTACTGAAATACTGCCCCTGGTACTGAAATGCTGTCCCTGCTAGTGAAATGCTGTCCCTGGTACTGAAACGCTGTCCCTGGTACTGAAACGCTATCCCTGGTACTGAAATGCTATCTCAGGTACTGAAACGCTATCCCTTGTACTGAAATACTGCCCCTGGTACGGAAATGCTGTCCCTGTCGTTAGTACTGAAATGCTGTTTCTGTCCCTGAATCCCCTTCAATTTTATGTTGTGTTTTCTGTATCTGTATAACCGGTATAACGATTCAGCGTTATATTCCAGCTTCGCGCGTGGTGGCATTTTAGCTATATTATACCGAACGACCTGTTATACCTTACCTCCTAACTGAAAACTTTGTTGAAATCTACCTAGTGACGGTGCCCGTACTGTAATTCTTGAAGCATGGCCAGAGCTGACATTCATGAATATTTACTAAAATACCATGCCGGGAAGTTTCTGCCAAGTAACCGGACCCGGTGTAGTGGTTACGTACGGAAAGAAATCCCCATGATTAATCAGATGAAAGGACACATAGTAACCTTACTGGAATATAAAGGTTTTCTTTTATACACAACCAGTATAAACCCTCACCAGATTACAGTTCGATGTCTAAAAAGACATCTTCCTCAGAGCTTCTGACTGGAGTACTGGTTCTCGCCGCTAGATGTATCCGAAGTAGGTGGCGCTTTTGCGGTGACAACACAACCCCAAACGTGGCTATGTTTGTATCCCCACTCGTCGCGGTTCATCATTGGTGTTGACATATAGCGGCGAGAAGCAGTACTGCAGTCAGAAACTCCGAGGAAGATGTCTGACAAGCAGCTATAGCTAGCTGGGAGTCTACACCAGTTGTTTAAAAGAGCAAACACCAACATCCTATATTTTACCAACAAGATGAAATTATTTTCGGTAATGTTCCTACTGAATCAAAACCATTGATTACAATGATTAGAAACTTCTATTCAGTGAGAAATGGATGGTGTAGTAGTTGGCAGTAAACTTAGTATAGGTATCATTTCTTGTTTAACAAGGTTTATGATGTCAAAATTTGAAAATGTAGGAATCTTTTTTTGGGCCCGCCTTGTTTTTTTTTCGCCCTCTCTCATTAGATTTGAGTCTGCAAAAGGATGTCATCCATAAAATTTACTTGCTGTGGCCTTAGTAAAACGTGCTGTTTCTCCTGCCCCACAGTGCTGACGGGAACTACGCCGTCAAACACAACACCAAGGCACAGATCAGCTCGGACGGCATGGTGACCTGGGAGCCGCCGGCTGTCTACAAGTCCTCCTGCGAGATAGAAGTCACCTACTTCCCGTTCGACCAGCAGAACTGTTCCATGAAGTTCGGCTCCTGGACGTACGACGGCTTCCAGATCGACCTGATGATGATGGACGACCATGTCGATCAGGGAGGCTTCTCCGAGAGCGGAGAATGGGTCATCATTGACGCACCCGGGCAGAAGAACATTATCAAATACGAGTGTTGCGAGGAAGTTTACCCAGATATTACGTTCTTTTTTGTTATTCGGAGGCTCCCTCTCTTCTACACCATTAACCTCATTGTGCCGTGTGCTCTGATCTCCTTTCTCACCGTCCTGGTGTTCTACCTCCCCTCCGACTGCGGAGAGAAGATTACCCTCTGCATTTCTGTGTTACTCTCTCTCACCGTGTTTCTTCTCTTGATCACAGAGATCATTCCGGCCACTTCGATCGTAATTCCAGTCATTGGAGAATACCTCCTCTTCACCATGATATTCGTAACGCTTTCTATCGTGATTACCGTCTTCGTGCTGAATATTCACTATCGGTCACCGAGTACCCACCGCATGCCAGTGTGGGTTCGAAAAATCTTTATCGACATCTTACCCAGATTGCTCTGTATGAAAAGGCCCCAAAAGACGACCAAGCAGTTGTCATTTATGAACGAATTTCGGGATGTTAACGGCTTAGAACTGAAAGATGTTAATTTGGAGGAGAAGCATATACACCATCACCACCAACCTAAAACCAAAGCTGACGTGTATGATTATGAGTCAAAAACCATTCCCAGAATGACAACACCTAAAATAAGATCCAGGCATGGCGCGAAGGTCAGCGTGACAAACGTGTCCGGCAATCCCGTGGGCGGCGCCGAAAAATACAACACGCACGATCCGCGGGGGGCCCAGGCCAGGGCACAGTTTCAGTCATATCAGTATTCTCCAGATATACTAAGGGCGGCACAGGGTGTCAACTACATTGCAGAAACCCTTCGAGCCAAGGACGAAGCCGACAGCGTAAGTAAGACTTGCCTCCATAACAGATCGCTCACATGCTACTGCATCTTGGTTGAATGCAAGTTCGGGATGTCCATATATATGACATATGTGTACATCTGTTTATGGAGGCAAGTGAGCTGGTACTAGTCTTAGAAGCCATCCTGGTAGGTGTTTCTGCTGAAGGGACCTCCTCCCTTCTCAGAGACAGCGACTGCGGGACTTTTAAGACTAGAAATGTGGTCGCTGCAGTACTTTTCGGCGGAACATTGGATCATTCCTCCAGCATGTACTCATGTACGCATGGCTCATGGTGTTAGCACGAGCAGACGCCGGACGTATGGCTCCCCTCACCCGGCCGGCCATACCTGCATGCGGCGGTAGGCTAGAGCGTCAGGAGGGATGGCAGTGTTCGGACGAGCGCGACCGCATTTTCTACCAAGGCCCGGTGCTTACAAAGAGCTGTCTTTGGGAGTTGTTCTACAAATTCTTGCTACCTGTTTTCAAAGGAACGTTCTAGTTCCGTTGGAAGAATTGCGTAAACAAAAGAAAGTCAACAAAGTGAAGAGCACATCATTTGGAATAGACCTGAATTGTGAACAAGGAAAAACACATCTACCCAGTCAGTTCTTTAAAGCTCGTTTTCCACAACAAACGTCTGTCGCTTTAGTCCGGTAAATCAGTAGTTTGTAGCTCAAACATCCTCCAGGACGAGGGGTATCATAAAAGTGCAGAGTGTAATCGCTTTGTTCCACAGTGTTGTTGTAACCTCTGACAGGGCCATGCAAGACATCAACCCACCAGCCCATTTACTCCATTTTACATCTTTGTTTCCCCACATTCAATACTTCCCCAACACGTCAGCTGTTATAACCACATTCCTATAGCTACTTCTGACAATGAATTAGAAAATGATGTTTTTGTTAGCATAGTGGGTCACTATTCCGCCGATCTCACAATCTAATCTGAGGCTGCAGGGTTATCACAGCTGCCCGGTGTTAACTGATGCTCTTAAGTTTTTGTCGGTTTCAAAATTACACCTGGCGTTTTTTCAGATATTTTGTCTAAAGTAATGTCCGTCCGTCTCCCAAGATGATATGACAACTTGAGTTGATTTTCCAGGTGAATGAGGATTGGAAGTACGTCGCCATGGTGATAGACCGGATCTTCCTGTGGATCTTCGTGTCCATGTGCATCCTGGGAACCATCGGTTTGTTCCTTCAGCCGGTGCTGTTTGAAATTACCGGCCAAAGGTCTTAGCGGAGCGGGGAACGACACCTACACGGCCGGCTGGGCCCCGTGTCCACGTTACGGACAAGTCGAAGACTCGGTGGTAAAATTCCCTCTCGTCAGGACCAGGAAATGTTCTCGTTTGAACGTTTTTGTGACAGCTGCTGTACCAGCTGGTGCAGGGACGACTTCCTGAGGAACCTTGTCTGGGAACATGAAGCGGCAAGGTCAATATTCACCGCCGTGGATCAGCGATGGAATCAGAGTCCCAACAGCCTCTACTAACAACAGTGCATGTCGTTGGGCAAAGGACAGTAAAAATCCGGGCTTGCTATGTGATATATGTGAATTATGTCAGAAAAGAAAGGTGTCAAAAGGCATCCATATGAGTTTTAGACCATGACAAACTCATCTTGGCAGGATACTCCCACCGGTCGACTTCTAAAGTGTCCGTTTCCATAACCAGAAGATTTCAAACGGCAGAATCTGTCATCTGAACCATCAGGACCACATGCAAACCTGTATCTTCTTTAGCAAACCGGACAAACCAAACAGATCAGATAAAAATTTTTTTTTCAACAAAACCAGATAAAAAAAGCATTTCCCAAGAAACAAAATTGTTTATGTTTGGTTTCGCAAAGTAATCGCTAGACTTAAACTCGGCACACTGCGCTTGCGCGGATTGCTGGCCTTTGCCCAGTCATAACCGACCATCCTTCACTACCCGGTACAGCCGCGTAGCCACGCCTCCCACAAGGGCGGACCAATGGGCATCTCACCTCACCAAGGACAAAAAGGCTCCGCCACAGAGGCGTCGCCAAAAGTTAGACCATAACGATGGCTGATTTGTCTGATATTAGATAATGTTTTGCACATATATCCACTTTGTGGAATGTTACTAGACTTGAAATAGGATATATTAAATTCTTGACAAGGATGTATCACAAGCAACCTATACCGTTTAAAAATGAAACAGCAAACGTAGCCATTATAGAGCTATCGCCATCCGTGTAGCGTTAGCCAAAATAAAAGTAAAGATTACGTATTCAGGAACAACCAACACACATGTATTGTAGTCATCATGTTGAAGCTCCATCCAAACACAAACCTTGGATTTTTGCTTCGGCATGCTTTATTCAGAGTAAGACAAGAGAGACCCCAGATTAGCCGCTCAGTGGAGATTTTTTCTAACAAAGGTAGAGTACCTGATGTATAGTTGTACATCCAGATAAACCCGGGGCATCACAGCACATGTAGCAACAGTCACATCACAGTGTACGCCGACATAAGGGCTCCACATGTCCACATACTGATGGACTGTAGTCAGGACGACAACTGAGCCAACTGGATAAAGAGTATATTGCTAACAAGTATTTGGAAGAGACAGACTATTTTTTCACTTGCTGTGATGTAACTAGTGGACAATATCAGTAGAAAGGGGTTGCAACAGCCAATGGTAAACAGAGTGGTTGAAAAGAGGTTGCAGTCGGCTGGGAAACTGCGAAGGTATGAAGCAGAGAAAATGAAACCTGAAAATTTCTTTGTGTTTGAATCATACTTGTACAGATCAGATAGAAATATCCATTAGAAACTATGAGAAACGCACGTCTGTTGTTGATTCGTCCTTGCTTGTCTTACGTGTAGTTTCACACAAACGTGTACACGCAAACAGCTATACTGTTAGTCTCATGTCTGAACCACACAAGGTTGTCTACATGTGCATCATGCTCATCAACAGTGTTTCCTCGTGCCCTTATGGCTGTCACGCGTCGCCACTCCGCTCTCCCCCTTGGTGACCGGCTTGCGCGCTCCCGCCGTCTCTGGACGCAACACGGGACCACAGGAAACGTCAGTCAGGAACTCCGTCCGTCTGGAAGACCCAGTGCTGGGTCAGTGCCCTCGGCATCCCGGCCCGGCGAGGTGCTCTCACGACCGCATCGTTACTTTGTGCGCGTCGGACCGTCGGGACGTCGTCTTCCTCACGTCGACCCTGTGGAGCTCACCTGCAGGGGTTGGGTTGGGGTGGAACAACGCATGCAACCAATGGCACACACACATGTACTACAACCGGTCTTATTCTCTAAGACCCTACACAGTGGCACCAACCACGTGCCCTTCAACACGAGATGTCGTAACACCAGCGGCCAGCCTACCGGGCTGTCACAAACCGCACACGGTACCAATGTACCCTTCAACGTGACACCCATTGTCACCTCTCAAATCTCGGCATCAATGCCCTAAAAAAAAACTCAGTGGCACCAACTGCCACTTACAACTCATGACAACAACATGCCCTCAATAAACTCAAATCTGAGAAAACCGCAAAACCTGATTATGGATAACTGAATCCTGGACTTAAATCATCTCCCTTGGCCTCAACTCCTGATCAATAATTTTCTGCCCTTTTTGATCACAAATGGTGTTCCTATATATAGCTAGTCTCCGTACCTACCTCTACCAATGCAATTTATCCATGGAAACCTAAACTGAAGGCCCTACGAGCCGAATGCTCTCGTGATGCCCAACATTCCCGCTACCCGGCAATGTTGCCCGAATGGGCTTTCCAAGGCATCGTCCTGCAATCAGCTCCTACCCCTACTGGCATTGGGACCCACCCATTCTATCCTGTTCATATACACATTGAACACACTACAGTATTAGCACGTTAGGCCACACCTACTTAATTATATGGATGACATCCCGCGCGCGCATTGATTTTAGCTTGTTCTCACGACAAAAAAATCACGACAATCTGTCAACCAAATCTCGAGTTATCCTTCTTCGAAGATTTTTCAACAAACGCTCCTACAGTTCTAGGACAAGTTGCTAGGGGCCCGAAGCTCATGTCACTTATTTTCTAGCCCAAGAGCTATATCTACTATGCAGAATTAGTGACCCTAGCGTGTCCAGATCATGAGATTTCAAAACAGGAAGTTCTGCTGCAGTACCAGCAAAAGCCGCCACGTGACTCAAAATCTACATATCTGCATTTCTAGGTCTCATCAAGACCTACCCACCCACCAAGTTATGCTGTTCACAGACAGACAAACAGACGGACAGACAAACGGCAGTCACTGCTGAAAGCATAACCTTTTTGGCGAAGGTAAGGAGTCTTGTGCTTTATAAACAGAAGAAGTTTAATGCGCAACAGATATAGCGGGTACAACGTATTGCAAAATGATACATACATAGTTTGTGGTGTTAACATACACATATGGTGGTGTTGAGAATATCTAACAGTTCTACTAACTGTAATAGGAATCT